ATCCAAATGCAAAATCCTAGCTATTCTAGTTAAAACTGAAAAGATAACTCACAGAAAAGATAACTATATATCAATGGCATACTGATACCACCCCTGCCCCACCACACACTCCCCCTGAATGAACTAGAGCTCCTTCTAAAATGATAATTTATCCAACCAAGTTTCTTTACATGGAACAGTTTTTGCAATTTTTTTAAACTGGTAAAATCTGATAGACATTTTTTCAAAATTATGATAGTCATAAAACTTTCTTAATAAGTTTTCTTTTTTATTACTTTATAAATAATATCAATCAAAATTTCCACTTTTTACCCTCCTCCCACTCCCTCCCCCATCCCCCCAGTTATCCTCCCCCTCTCCCCCTTCAGTCCTAAGAGAGGGCAGGGAACCCTGTTCTGTAGGAAGTCCAAGGCCCTCCCCCCTCCATCCAGGCTTAGGAAGGTGTGCATCCAAATAGAATAGGATCCCAAAAACCTAGCACATGCAGTACAGACAAATCCCAGTGCCATTATCATTGGCTTCTCAGTCAGCCTCAATTGTCAGCCACATTCAGAGGGTTCAGTTTGATCCCATGCTCGTTCAGTCCCAGTTGAGCTGGATTTGGTGAGCTCCCATTAGAACAGGCACACTGTCTCAGTGAGTGGAAAAACCCCTCTTGGTCCTGACTTGCTCATCTTTTCCCTCCTTCTGCTCTTCACTGGATCTTGGGAGCTCAGTCCAGTGCTCCAAATGTGGGTCTCTGTCTCTATCTCCATCCATCACCGGACGAAGGTTCTATGGTGATTTTCAAGATATTCAGTCTGATTACAGGACAAAGCAAGTTCAGGCACCCTCTCCTCCACTGCCCAGGGTCCTAGCTGGGGACATCCCCTTTGACTCCTGGGAACCCCTCTAGAGCCAAGCCTCTTGCCAACCCCAAAATTACTCCCTTAATTAAGATATCTCCTTCCCTGCTCCCATATCCGTCCTTCCTCCATCTCAACCATTCCACTTCCCCAAGCTCTCCCCAACCCTCCCCTTCTCCCTTCTCTCTCCCCCTTTCCTCTTTCCCCCACCCCACACCCACCCCCCATGTTCCCATCTTTTGCCTGGTGATTTTGTCTGCTTCCAGTTTCCAAGAGGATCTATATATGTTTTTCTTTGAGTTCACCATATTACTTAGCTTCTCTAGGATCATGAACTATAGACCCAATATTTTTTGTTTATGGCTAGAAATTTTCATAAAAAGAAAATAAAACAACATGAAGAACAGAACTTTACTGTCTTGTTAAAAAGATTTCCATCTTAAAACTATTCCAAAGTGGGAAAAATGAAGGTCTGACTGACCCACCCCGCAAGCCCTGAAATAGCCTTCTTGGAACTAATTACCCCCTTGTTCACCTGGAACTCTCAAATGGACACCCTGAGTTTCCACCCCAGAGAGCCACACCACTTTTTAAAAAGCACTTGCATAATATGATTAACTTTCTGAGAAGTTTGAAAACTGATTAAATAACAATACCATATGTTACTTTTAAAAGGCTTTAATGCAATGAAAAATGACCCATTCAGGGATGGCCAGCCAAAAATAGTGACATTTAACCTCTTAATTATTGCTACCCTAAATACTACACCCTTTGTGCAGACCTTATAATTTTGTCCCCACCCCCAAATTCACTGTAGCAAAGTGGTCTGTTTCACCATGGGAGTTTGCAACACTTTGCCCAGCCTGGCGGAAAAGATGGAGTCTTCCAGATGACTGGGCTTCTTGTCTGTGCTCTCACTATGGCTATGAATCTAATTAAACTAAGAAACACCTTTAATTATCACAAGATAATAGAATCAACTTATGAGTCAGGGATCTGATTAGTAATGTGACCCAAATTTACTATTAAGTCTGATAATTATAATGCTTATAAGATATTCTTTAAATGTAGCTTTTTAATATTTTATGAAGTGACTTTTTTACCATAATCAGAATTTTTTTCAGACAGCGATGGTATTCAGTGTGACAATATACAATACTACATTTCTTTGGCTGGTTTTACAGATAGCATGCTCTTAAATGAACACAACTCTACATTATTCAAATTTTATTGTGCCTAAATTCACATTATTTTTAGCATTTAAAGAATCCCTCTAAAGGTAATCTAATTATAGGATTTACTAGAAGTACTCTGAGATGGAGGTGTGTGCAGCCATCCTTTGGTATCTTTTGGAAACTGACTTCAGGAACCAAATCCTGCAGACACTCAAATGGCTTATCTAAAATGACATGTTACATCTAACCTATGCACAGTCTCCCATGTGTGCTTTATAATACCCAATATTAAGACATTTCAACAGTTTTATCCTATTTTGTTTGAAGAATAATAACAAAAAAATGGTGCCTGTTCAGTAAAGACACATTTTTGTAAATTATTTTTGATTGTGGCTGAATACATGGACAAAAGGGTCCATCTGCATATCTTTATTCCCTGGTACATAAATAAACTATATATATGGAAAATGTATGCATATTTTGTATATACATAGAATATATACAACATATGCATGCATATGTATTTATATGTTAAAAACTAATTCTGTAAACAACTGGAAAGAGATTTATGAACAAACTCTGCATGCCCCAAAGCTGCATTTTATATATGTATATTGTTGAGAGGAAGTATTACATGACTTCAATTTAATTCTTACAGTGATCTGTGATCACTTATAAATGACTTTTTTTTAAGTTTAGGAACTGTCTCTGGAGCTCTCCTGTCTGATGCTATGCCACTAGCCACCGTGGAAAGTAAATGGTCTTGTGGGAACTGCAAATTGGGAGGTAGTGTGGGTAGAATACACAGCATATCCAGATTTGAAATAATTAACACAAACGAGAGGTGAGTTACATAATTGTTAGAACATAATTACATGCTCAAGTGTTACCTGGGACGGGGGATGTTAACAAAAATGTTACTAGCATTAATTTGACCTCTTAAAACATTTGTGTTAATGTGGCTGTTAAAATTTTTAAGACCATTTGTCACTCACCATACGTTTCTGTTAAAGTCAGAGCTTGATCACAGGCATGCTGAAGATTCTACAAGTTACCATCAAGCAGAAGTCTTTAAACAATAGTTCCCAAAGTGGATTCTAGTGGATATTTTAGCAGATAGAGTAAAGTGGCTAGCACATTACAAAAGAAAAGATTTAGACCATCTTCATCTAAGGAATCTGGCACAATTTCTTTTAGGCAATGCTGAGTTTGGGTGGAGAAGTCTGTTAGTTGAACACCTGTCATAAATATTTGCAGATAATTTCATTGTTAGACAGTTATCACTCAAAGCAAACTTTTGCTCTTAGAACACATCAATAAAACTACATGCTTAAATAGCAAAGAAAAGAATAATGGGGAATACTCATGAAGAAGCATCATTGAAAATATGAATGTGGCATGTCCAGAGAATCTACTCCTTATGTTTATCTTGGCTATTTTACAGATAAAGAAACTTTAAAAGACAGACTTATTGAAAGCTTTGCCGACTGACTTAAGAGCACGCTAGAAGCTAGCACACCTGGGTGACCAATTTCTAATTCGAACACACAGTTGCTAGATGCAACGACTGCTTACTTAGTAATTAATTTTACCATAGCACATGCTGAAAGGAGGTAGACCTAAATTTTTGAAATTCCAGCCATAAATCAACTTATGTCTCTCCGTCAACAGAGTGTTTTGTGAAGCCTTTTTTGTTTGTTTGTTCGATTATTTTTAATTTAATGTTAAAACCTCCTCGCTCCCTGGTTTCAAAACATTACAAAGGCCAGCTTGACAGTATCGCACCTAACTGGTAGGACAGACATTCAGTGCACTAGCCAAATAAAACACATTTATCCTCTTGCAAAGTAAAATAGAGTAGTGAGATATTCTTATTCTCTCCCATCCCAGCCCATTGTTCCCCTCTCTTCATTGCTTTCGTTTCATTTCAGTTGCTCTCTGATGTTTTCTTCTTTTCCATTCCCCTCCCTCCTCTTTCGAGTTTGAAAGTGCACGTCCAGCATTCTTTTTAAGTTTTTAGCTTTATTTAGCAGATGAAAAACTAGATCTGGGCTCCAGTGGCTCTTGTATCCAGGCGTGCGTTCCAAAGGACAGAATTAAGGATTACTTTCCGTTCAACTTGGTACACCTAGCTCCTAGACTCTACAGCCCAGAGCGCATCCGCATACCACAGAAGGGTGAGCCTCTGCCTTTTGCCCCAGCCTAACCAGGTTTGCAAGGAGGTCGCACCCAGCCGTCTCCATCCCTGCCCTTTCAAACTTCTGACAGTATTTCCTCTACCACCCACATGGGCGAAGTAAATACACTCCCTTCCTCAGCCCAGCCCAGGCTCCTTCTATTTACCGTCTTGTACCACCAACTTGCGAATGCCATGGCGCCAACCCAGACTTGCTCTTGCCGTGCGGCTGGGGATCCGTCGACGACGCTGAGTGAAGTGGTGGCCCCAGGCTGACTCTCCGAGGCAAGGACCTTGCTGGCACCCCGCTGGGCGCCTCGCAGCAGCTCGGTGGGAGGGCGCTAAGGGGGAGGGACGCTAGAATCCGCCCACCGCTACCGCGGCCCCGCCCCATCCGTCTTGGCCTGAGGCTGGTTAGGGAAGAGGTGTCGGTTCTTCAGGGTGCCACTCCCTACAGGTTTGGGGGCGACTTCAAACAGAGGACAGGCTCCCTTATCCAGTGACGCGAGCCCACTCACTCTGGAGATCCCGAGTGAACTTTACCCCCCTTTCACGCCCATGCGCACGCCTGTTTCACTAGCCCACTCTTCTCCACGAGCCTCCGCACCCCACTAACGTCACTACCCAGTACGAAGAGCCTCGGGCCACCTGCTTTCCCGCACTGAGCCCTGATCCCTTCCCGGACCCTGGAAGGTGCCAAGCCGGGACAGGTTAGACGAAGCCCCAGGACTGAGGCGGGCCACTCCTGGAGCAGGATCCCTCTGCCGCTAGCCCCGGGGCAGCTCAGTCTGGAGAGCTACTCACCTCTTGGGTGTGGCGGTCTGCTGCAGCGCGCCTGGGCCTGGGGGAGGCGGCGGGCTTCCTACCCGGCTGGGACATTCTGGGGAAGGCGCTGCGGGCTCAGCCTCGGGGGTAGGCGCAGAAGCTACCAGACGCCCCGGCCAGAGCTCGGGGCGGGAGTGGCTGGACAGCGCAGTGAAGTAGCTTTCCGACACAGCCCTGGGCCGGCGCCCCGCTCCCCTTTGCCCCGCTAGGCCCTCCCCTTCCTGCCCGCAGCTCACAGCGGCCGGCCTAACTTGTCAGTGGCCAGAACCGCAACTCAACACCCTCCGCCCCGGGTTTGTACCCTCCTCGGGAGAGCCCCAGAACTGTCTCAGTGGGACACAAACAGGGGGAGCCGGAGGTTGCCGTTCCCGGGGCGACTTTAGGCCGAACTAGCGGTTGTGCAACCAGAGAGTTAGACTGGGGCGTGGCCTAGACCCTCTTTACGAAGAATTTGGAGAATTAGACACCTTTCCTTCAATCTGTCATTAACTCAAATGTAGCCTAAGTTTGAACTGTTTGAAAGTGGATTTTAAAAACAAATTGGTCTCTGAGTGTGAGCATGCACTTGGGTACTTGTGTGTTTTATGTCCTTTTATGTATTTATTATTGATAATTATTATTATTGCAATTCTGCAAGTTTCCTAATGTTTTACAAGCAGGAGCCTGCCGGCTCTGGTCCAAACCAGTAGATAAACACAGATTTTAAACTTTTACATCCTTTTCTGAAGACTGTGGGTTTTGTTTCTGAGGTTGTTTTGCTTTTGTGTTGGGCTGATCTTAGGCAGCACTTCCTGGTTTGAGATTAGATGTAAAATTTAACAATCCCTTGGCATGCTCACCCAAAGAGTCTGCCAGCCTGCAGCTGCTGTTGGCTGATGCAGGCAATGGAAAAGCCTGCACCACCTCAATAGGATCGTCCCTTCTGGCCTTAAGACAACATGCTGGAGTGCTGGTTTAGACAGCTGGAGAGATGTGGAGATCTTAGAGATCCCCTGTATAGACAGAGAATTTCCTACAACAATGTCTGTGCATATTGTTACATTGTTCACTATTTATCTAAACAAAACCAAATCAAACAAAACAGCGTCAGTTTCCTGCTACAAGGAGGTATCAGGGACCTATGCTAAGGGACTTTATAGGAGCATAGGAGAAACACACACACACACAAAACACATAGTCACTTTCCCCTGCTTACAGGACAGGGCCAAAAGCAGGCAGAGGTGGGGAGAGGACTGCTCTAGGATTCTGTGAATGGGTTTCTCGCTTCAATGGAAAAGGGACTGTTGGTCAACCATAGAGAAAGACTTCTCTCACCTGTTCCTTTTTCACATGCTCCAACCCTGTGAGTCAAGGTCCTCTTTTCATCCCCTCTGTTTCAGACTCTGGTTTAGAACTTATCCTTCACCCTCTCCCCTTCCCCCACCCCACCCCCACCCCCATGCTCCCAACTTTTGCCCGGCAATCTTGTTTGCTTCCAATTTCCAGGAGGATCTATACATCTTTTTCTTTGGGTTCACTTTTTTGGCTTCTCTAGGCTTGCGAACTATAGGCTTAATGTCCTTTGTTTATGGCTAGAGTCCACTAATGAGTGGGTACATACCATATTCATCTTTTTGGGTCTGGGTTATCTCACTCAGGATAGTGTTTTCTATTTCCATCCATTTGCATGCAAAATTCAAAATGTCATTATTTTTACCGCTGAGTAGTAGAAAAGGGAGAAAGGAAAGACTGGAGAGAGCTTGGGGGAGTGGGAGGGTGGAGATGGAGGAAGGGCAGATATAAGAGCAGGGAAGAAGATATCTACATTAAGGGGGGCATTTTAGGGTTGGCAAGAGACTTTGCTCTAGAGGGGATCCCAGGTGTCCACGGGGATGTCCCCAGCTAGGTCCTTGGGCTGACAATGGGGGCTGACTGAGAAGCCATTGGTAAAAGCACTGGGACTTGTTTCTGCTGCGTGTACTGGCTTTTTGGGACCCTTAGTCTATTTGGATGCAAAGCTTCCTAGGCCTGGATGTAGAGGGGGAGGGCCTTGGGCTTCCCACAGGGCAGGGTTCCCTGTCCTCTCTTAAGGAGGGAGGGGGAGGGAGGAGGGTGGGTGGGGGAGCGGGAGGGGAATGGGAGGAGGGGAGAAAGTGTAAATTTTTGAATAGAAAAAAATTTAAAAAAATTTATCGCTTCTCAATGGAAAATGAGTAAAAGGAGAAAAGGAAAAAAATGAATTCAGGGGCAGAAGGAAACTGGTAGACCTTTAGACTCTAGAGGCCAAGGCAAGGAGGAATTCTCAATGTGGGTTATATAGACATAAAAGATGTAGTCCAAAGGTTGAATCGGATGAGGAAGGAACAGTGCTATGGAATCTGCGAGTTTTTGGTTATCTCAGATAGCAGATAAGTTTGGAAATTCTAAGTAATTTTGAGGTACCCATATGTAGGCAGAGACTGCTTGTTTGTTTCCATGCTGCCCTGACCATCCCCCACAAAAAAATCACAGAAACTGTATTAATTATAACAGTGCCAAGCCTATTAGCTTGGGATTATTTTTAACTAACTCTTACATATTAAATTAACCCGTTTTATTTATTTTTTTTATTTTATTACAAGACTCGTGGTTTACTGGTAAGGTTCCAGGCAACTGGGCATCTGTCTCCTTCAGCAGCAATGCAGCATCTCCTTGACTCCGCCTACTTCTCTACTATTTCTTGGAATTCCCACCTTGCTCTATTCTGCCCTGCCATAGGCCAAAGCAGCTTTCATTCATTAATGACAATAGAGCATATTCACAGCATACAGAGGGGAAGCCCCTTTCCACTTCGGGTACTGTTTATTTATTAATGATAATAAAGCATATTCACAGCATACAGAGGGGAAGCCCCTTTCCACTTCGGGTACTGTTTATTTATTAATGATAATAAAGCATATTCACAGTATACAGAGGGGAAGCCCCTTTCCACTTCGGGTACTGTTTATTTCCACACTGTTTCCCATCCCTGGAAAAGAAGCAGTGCCACAAAACCTGGGTCTTTCAGATGGAAAGCAGCATCTTCCAGTCTCCTTGGGTTTTTCTTCATTTCCTTTTAGCCAAGTTTTCTTTGCTCTATAGTTATTGTTTCCTGAAAGAAGAAAAGAGTCTTCACAAATAGACAGACTGATAAGCAAAATAAGTCCATCCCTCACAGTTTCTCCTCCTATGCCCTGTGTAAACATGCACATAGCTGCATAGAAGCTTCATAATTCTGATTGTTAAATTCCCTCAAAGCATGATTTTACTGGTAAAATAAAATCTATGCAAAAAAAAAAAGTGTGCCTTCCTTGGAGACCATAGGAGGCCATAGGAATGTAGAGTGCTTCTCAGGTCACCCACTTAAAGTGTGCACATGGATACAGGTGTAATGAGTGGGGGGAAAAGAATTGATATGGAAGAGCAAAGGAAGAGGAAAGAAACAATAAAGGCAAAAAGCAGTTTTTGACCGGCTCTGCCACCAAGCAAGAACTTGATTCATACAGGAACTACAGCTAAGTCCTTAAGAGTTTGTTACTCATGAGTTTTGCTCTACTTTCCTCCAAATTAAAAACAAAGATGCCTGCAAATGACCTTCATGTGCTATTTTCCTTATTTCTATAAACCAAAAAGGATGGTTTCAGTTTTCTCAGGAGTGTTCCTAGTAGAAGGGACACTTGAGGAAGGAGAGATGGGGAGTCAAATGGAGATGCTGAGTTGGAAGGCATGTTCAATAGATGTCTCAGGTAACATTGCAGGTTCTTATCATGGGATGGTCATTTATAGTTGTCTGGGATTACGTCTGGAGAACAGGAGCTAACCTTTGAATATACCTGGAACAAGCAGACACTAGCTATTATTATTGGTGACGAGAGGGCAACTCCCAAATTAGTTTAACAGATAAGGTCTGTCTCCTGGAAGCCTTCCTAGGAGCTAAGGAGAGGTCTCTGTTACTGCTGGAAAATATCAGAATGACTTGTCACATCCAGTCCACTATTCAGTGCTGCACAACACCATAAAACTGCAAGTAAAACTGAGGAGGGAATACATATTGCAGAAGCATGTTGTCAGACTGCTCCGTCGTGAAGCATTGGAACTGAAATATCACACAGTTATTTACATCTCTCCCTTTCTGCTATGATTCAAGAGCGGTCACTAAAAAATAATTTGATTCATGGAACAGCCATGAAGTCAATATTACCATCTAGGGTTATAGAAACAATTTTGCCACCTGTGGATTACTACAAATGATTGTATAAAGAATAAATATAACTTCCACTTCTAGATTTGTCAATTGATATTAACAATAAACAAAGTTGTAAGTACTTACAAATCTGGCAGCACACAGAGGAATCAGGTACTTTCTGCTTATTAGGAAGTCACATAAGCCTTCTGTCTATGGGTTGCTTTCTTCAGTAAGTTTTCTGAGACTTGAAACTGCATCCCCTGAGGTGTTTTTAGTTCATTTGTTTTTTTGTTTGTTTGTTTGTTTTTATATATTCCATCAGCTTAAGGACTATTGGGCTCAGTATAAAGGACCCCAGTTCAAATGAATTCAGCTTTCTTCTGGTTTTGTTTTTTTTTTTTTCTTACTTGGTGTTGTTCTTTCCTCTTGTGAATTTGAATTCTGATTTGGTATTTAGTCTAGAAAGAGAAATAACCTTTCTAGAGTGGCATTTGTTTCCTCATATTCCTAAGAAAGGCTCTGTCACTTAGCTCTGTGCACTGACTACCACCTGAATTTTTGGTAAGTTTCACTAGGCCTACAACTCTCTTTTTCAAGCTGTTTCTTCTGCTTAGTGGCCTTCACTCCTCTTTCTCTGAACTGTGTGCCTCACTTCCCTTCAAAGCTCACTTTCTGAACTTGTCTGGAGCCTACATAATAATTGGTCTTCTAGATGGGCCTTCAGGAAGGGTGACTCCACACCACCCATGAATGCTTCAAGGCACTCAGTTTACAGCCTATCTCCATGCAGACCTATTTCTGCATGTTTAAATTTCAGTATCTGAACTGCTATTTTTACTTATGTGTGCACATATGAATAGGGTCTTTAGATTTTGTCTTGTTTGTGGACAGGGTATCACTAAGTAGCCTGGCTGGCCTGGAACTTACTAGCGACAAAACTGACCTTCAACTTTCCATGATCCTTTTACTTCTGCCCCCCTGTCTAGTATCTGACTTTAAATGATAAAACGTTAATGAGAAGATTATTTCAGAAGGTAGGAATAACAATGGAAATTTGAGATTGTCTATACTTTGCTGTATAAAAACTTGGGAATCATTTATAAATACAGGTTTAGCATTCCTCATCTGAAAATATAAAATATGAAATGTTTCAAGTTCCAATATGATAATACACAGAAAATTCTCATCATATCCTATGTGATTGGGAAC